TCGATACGATAACACCATACGTGATATCACGTATGGTGTTATCGTATCGAGTTTCACCGCAATATCACCAAACCGTGTCCTCGTGAAATGAAACCGTTCTTAGTAATCTGGTTGATTAAAATTATGCAAAAACAAAACTCCCATATAAACTGTATAAACTGTATAAACTGTATTTAGTGGGAATAGTAACTAACTATAAGTTTAGGTATTACCATACGGATATAATATAATAGGAAAACTTTCGTTATTATTTTATCATTAAATATTACGAATATATATTATATTGTTTTGTGAGTTAGAATATTAATCATTCGCGAAGAGATTAATTTTTGTTTAATATATTTAATTATACTATTCATTTTACAAACTTTATATATATATATAAATTCATATGTTATTTTGTCATAAATTATTTTACATGCATATATATATATATATATACGGATATAATTTAAATTATAACAAATTGTAATGAATATACACGTAAAGTTGCGTTGAAATAAATCTAGATAAATATGAAATGCAATTTGATATTCGATCATACATATTATATAAATTTAAATAATTATTAAATATCCAAATAATAATCTAACAAAAAATGATTCTCGATATTTATTTGATTTTCAAATCCTACTAATTTACCATGTAATTTAAAGTATCGTTTTAAATTTCTTTTTTTTTTATTATCTTTCGAGAATCTAACTTATAAGTTAGATATTTTTTTGTTAAATATGAAAGAACTAATGATTTAATCGCGTATCACGTGTCAGTAATAAACTGTTGATGTTAGCACGAGTTTTTCACACACACACACACATACTTTCATTTGATGATGATTATTATTCTGATTTATCTTAAAGGTGTATCATATGCTACAAGAGAGAACTCAATTTGGAATTGGTCGGGAGAATCGTGCTAGAGGTAGTTGGGGTACCTGGAGCAGTTGGAGCGAATGTTCCAGAACTTGTGGCACCGGTGTTCAATCTCAATCACGAGAATGTGTTCCTCTTCGGTAAGAAAAATTATCGACAATTTGTTTACAATTATAATAGAAAATAATCAAATTAAATATCGTTTGTGATTTTTTATCATTAATTATTTATAATTCGATTAGATTAGATTAGATTTTCGATTAAATATTATATTTATTAGAACAAGATAGAAAACGTTTAATTACAAAAATATTTATTAAACGTGTCATTTTTTATATTTTAATAGTTAACAAATTTTTCTTATTTAACACACACATAAGAATAAAAATTCTAATGAATATATCTACACATTTAATACATCTCATATCGTATATTAATATTGTGTATCTAGTAACAAATAGAAAATAAATTATTCTTATTTAACACACACACACATATACACATAAGAATAAAAATTCGAATGAATATATCTACACATTTAATACATCTCGTATC